AGACTCCAGCCCTCGGTAGTAGAGGTTACTCCTGTGATGAGCGTATAATGGTATTGAGATTGAAGCTTTCTTTTGGCTTCATGTCTTTTATTGCTGTGTACGCTCCTACCGATGTTGTAAACTTGACGTGAAAGAGATGTTCTACGCCAAACTTACATCTGTGGCAGACAGATGTCCCCGACGAGATATTCGCATTGTTCTGGGCGACTTCAATGCGGTATCTGGCTGTGATCGAGCTGGCTATGAGATGTCTGTCGGTCCCCATGGTTCAGGAGCTGATGCCGGTAGCGAGAATAGCCTCCTTTTCCGGGACTTTGCTAGGTCCCAGAAATTGAGGATTTCTGGCTCCTGGTACCAGCGCCCAGACCCACATCGCTGGACATGGTACAGTGATGCGGTAACGCAGCCAAGGAGATCGACCACATACTTGTTAGCACTCGTTGGAGGATCCTTCAGAATTGCAGGGTGTACAGGAGTGCTGAGTTCTGTGGTACTGACCATAGATTGGTTGTGGCTACCCTCCGAGTCCACTTCAAAACCCCCCAGCGGTCAAATGATCACCCTAGGGTGTTTCATTTGGACAGGCTGAGGGAGGGGGAGTGTGCCCGCGGGTTTGCTGAGGCAATCTCTGATCGTTTCGCAGTGCTTGGCAGTCTGACAGACCCTGTTCTTCTGTGGGATACCTCTAAGCATGAAACGCTTGATGCAGCTCAAGATACGATTGGTGTACGCCCGAGAGCAGTACAGAATTCCATCTCTCGGGAGACACTGGAAGCCACAGATGCATGTCGTGTGGCTCGTCTGACAGGGGATCGAGAATTGCACCGTTCTCATGTGCACAGAACTCAGTCCCTGTTAAGAAAGGACAAGGAACAGTTTATTAGGAGTCTTGCAGAGGAGGTAGAAGGCCATTTCTTAGTAAATGACCTTCGTCCTGCATACCAAGCCCTGAGAAAGCTGAACTCCAAGCCCTCTTCACAGGTGACAGCAGTTCGCTCAGTAAGTGGTCAGATCGTTTCAGATCCTGTTGCGGTGCGGGGACGTTGGGCTGAGTATTTTGAGCAGCTGTACCAGGTTGACCCACCAACAGTTAACTTGGATGCGGGTAGTGTCGAGATCCCGCTGCCGGATCCACCTATCAGTGAGGACCCTCCCTCCCTAACTGAAGTTAGGGGGGCGATTTCCAAGCTGAAGAGTGGTAAAGCAGCTGGTATCTGCGGCATACCAGCTGAACTGTTAAAGGCTGGTGGTGAACCTATGGCACGGGGGTTACATGCTGTCCTGGCTGCCATCTGGCAGTCCGGTTCCGTTCCTCCTGACCTGTTGAGGGGTGTGGTCATCCCTCTCTGGAAGGGGAAGGGGGACCGTTGGGACTGCAGCAATCACCGAGGCATCACACTGCTCAGTGTACCAGGCAAGGTCCTCGCCCACATCCTTCTGAGACGTATCAGAGACCATCTACTGAGGCACCAGAGACTGGAGCAATCCGGATTCACTCCTGGTAAGTCCACAATAGACCGTATCTTCGCGCTTCGAGTCATTGTAGAGCGCCGTCGTGAGTTCGGACGTGGGCTGCTTGCAGCCTACATCGACCTCAAGAAGGCGTTCGATACGGTGCATCGGGAGTCACTTTGGGAGATCCTGAGGCTGAGAGGAATACCAACAAGGATTATTGGACTAATAGCAAGCCTGTATACTGGTACTGAAAGTGCTATAAAGTGTGGTGGGGGCCTGTCGAGCTTCTTTCCTGTTAGTTCAGGAGTGAGGCAAGGCTGTGTCCTTGCACCAACTCTTTTCAACACTTGCATGGACTGGATACTGGGCAGAGCTACTGTTCAAAGTCATTGTGGGGCAACGCTGGGCAATATCAAGGTTACAGACCTTGACTTTGCTGATGACGTTGCCATTCTATCTGAGTCTTTGGAAACCCTAGTGGCGGCTCTCGATGCATTTAGCAATGAAGCAAAGCCCCTGGGTCTAGAGGTCTCCTGGACCAAAGACCAAGGTCCAGGAATTTGGGGACTTGATAGGAGAACCTGTTCAGTCGGTACGTGCTTGCGGTGAGGACATTGAAGTCACAGAGAGCTTTACATACCTTGGTAGTGTAGTTCATAACTCTGGGCTGTCAGACCATGAAGTCAGCAGACGGATTGGCCTGGCAGCAGGGGTCATGAACTCTCTCAACAAGAGTATTTGGAGATGTCGGTACCTGTGCAGAAGGACCAAGCTTCGGGTTTTCAAGGCCCTGATAATGCCAGTTTTGCTATACGGTAGCGAAACCTGGACATTGTCCTGTGCCTTGGAGGCTCGTCTTGAAGCCTTTTGCAATAGGTCCTTGCGCCAGATCATGGGGTACTGTTGGCGGGACCATGTGTCCAACCAACGGTTGCACCGTGAGACTGACACAAGCCCTGTTATCTGCACAATCCGTGATCGCCAACTCAGGCTATACGGCCACCTGGCTCGCTTTCCTCAGGATGATCCTGCCCATCAGGTCGTCTCTATTCGAGACAACCCTGGGTGGAGGAGGCCTGTGGGACGACCGAGGAAGTCATGGCTTGGGCAGATCGACCAAACCTGCCGTGAAGAACTAGAGATGGGCCGAGTCCCTGCCTGGCGTCTAGCCATGAGGGATCCTCGTAGGTGGAAGCGAAGGGTGGATGCGGCTATGCGCCCCCGTCGGCGTCAGCCCCCATGATGATGATGATGATGATTTATTTAAGTATATTTATTTATCACATTTAGTTATCTCCCAGACTGAAATGTGCTAGGTCAGTATCTCAACTCACAAATTCTCTTGTTTTGGCTTGGCAAACAGTTTGGCCAAAATAATGGCTAGTTCATTTTGTTTATCTTTGCTTTTAAAATCAGCGTTTCTATATCATTCGTATTACGAGTAGATAATGTTGTGGATAATATCTACACATATATTTATGTTTGAAAATAAAGGAAAACAAGATAAGAAATGATGAAAGAAGGACTGACCTGCATTCCTTTTCCCGACGTCTTGCTTGCTTCGACCCCGAGGGGCTCCTTCGCTGTCATACTCACGGTCGTGTCTGCCGGTGGCTCTTGGCTCTCTCCTCTCCTCTGTGGGCACAAGGGACAATTTCTGTTTCCATACCGAACTCGTACTAGAGATTGTGCACTTTTTTCTTTTATTTATGAAGATCTACTTTGAAGAAATCAGAAAGATGGGTGGGGGGGGGTGATCCATAACTTGTTAGAGGAAGGATGTAGAGATAAGAAAAGAGAATATTCATGTCATTCTTTAATATCCATTGCTGAAACATAATGTTAGATGTAACATTTATTTTAATATGATTATAGAATAAAAGGAATTGGCCAAAAACTTTTTTCTATGACTGACATAGGCCTGTATTCGGTACTCACTCATCTTTGTGTACTTTGTGTCTACAATGTACATTTTTGAGTTTTGATCACTTACTAATGGCTCGGTCCTCCACCTCAACAGATATTTTTGGTTTTCTCTTTTTTCTTTGACTCGCCCTCTTCGCGTCAATATATGGAGATTCTTCCTTTTCAAATTCTGCAAGATATATGAACTTGCTCATAAATAAATTTTGTTGCCATATAGAATGTGTTTTGGATTAAGTGTCTCGGATTTAAGAAACGAAGGCACATCGCACACGAGATTATATAACGTTTACCATAATATACTTGTAAAAATCCAAAAGTTATCGAAGAAAATGGAAAAGGAAATGTAAATAGTGACCTCGAACCGCTAAAAAGAGAAATCTTTGATGGACTTCATATCATTATTACTATTATCATTATATAAAGACACTACCTTCAGACTTCCGCCTTTTCGTTGTCTTCTGCATAGCTTTAGGCTTTCCTGCTTGCTTGTCTATGTCCGTCTCCCCTCGAGCATCTCTGCTTTTCGTGACAGTCTAGAGAAATGAGACATATTTCATCACATAAACTTAATTCCAGGAGTCTCTTTAGCAGGTAATCTAAACATTTCCATGTATTTATCAACGAAAAAATCGCAGCTGGAGCCTGTTCTTTTAACATTCAGTCTTTCTTCATCAGTAATGCAACAAACTATGGCAGTGAAACTGCTACTTTAAGAATGTTCAATGGTCAAGTTATGGAGCTATAAATTACTCCAACATGCTCTTTGATTTAGAGAGAAATAGAAACATCTGGAAGTTTACCTTTGGAGTTGGTGACTTCTTCGCTTCTTTAGTTGATTGTGGCGGTGTTCCTTTTTGTTTTGGAATGTGTTTTTTTCCTGGTTAAGAAAATACAATTAACAGTTGTGAATGCACTGTTGCAGTAACTGTTATGAAATCGGTTCAAACATACCATTGTTGCCAAAGTATAGCCAAGTAATGATTATTGCAGTTATTGTCATTCGGTATTATACAACAACGTTATTGCTGTATAATCATCATTATTTTCAATATCATTACAACGAGGGTCTTGAATTTATTTTCACATATAATTTCATGGGTTACCTATGCTTCCATAGGCATGATCCCTTACCCAACTTCTTCGCAGGTTTTGCCGGACATGGAGTCTTTCTTTTAGACTTCTGGTGCTTGCTTGACGAGCGTTTGTGCTGCTGTGTTTGCTTATCAAGATCCTTCTTCCGGCTGGACTCTTCGGGATTCTGCCTCGAGCGCTGGCCACTCCTCTGTGGTTGGTGCTCCTCAGGGCCTTGCTGTTCCGGCTCACTGCTGCTCTCCTCGCTAATCTCGCCATCTTCATCCTCGTCATCAGACTCGCTGTCTTGCTCTCTGTTAGGATCGGATTCTTCTTCATCAGTTGTCTGCTTGTCCTCTTCAGAATCGCTCCCTTCGCTTGACTGATCTTCCTCTTCATCATCTTCACTTCCTTCGCTTGACTGATCTTCATCAGTTTCTTCGCCTGACTGATCGTCCTCATCATCATCACATTTTTTGCTTGACTGCTCTTCCTCTCCATCACTTCCATCCGAACTGCTGTCTCGGTCAGATTCCTCACTCGGGTCAGACTGGTCATCCGAGTCCTCTGACTGGGGTTCTTGTGGCTTTTGCTTTGTGTTCTTTGCATTTCGCTTTGTGCCTTTTAGCTTCTTCCCCTGGTCCATCTGTATTAGTAAATAATTTTGTAAATTTTAGTTAAAGGGACAATATTTTCAGTAAGATCACGAGCTAAAAAGGTTGAAAACATGAGTTAGTAGATTGCATGCACACACACATGCATGTTTATCTATAATAATACAAAATCTAAGAATTTTACTATAGATTAGTGATACTAGAATTGGGTTAGGGTTTTGCTTTAGAATAAAACAGAATTGCTTGGTGTCTGAATACAATATATATATATATATGAATGTATGTATATATATATATTATATATAAATATATATATATATATATATATATAATATGTATATCATCATCATCATCAAGGGGGCTGACGCCGACGGGGGCGCATAGCCGCATCCACCCTTCGCTTCCACCTACGAGGATCCCTCATGGCTAGACGCCAGGCAGGGACTCGGCCCATCTCTATTTCTTCACGGCAGGTTTGGTCGATCTGCCCAAGCCACTCCTGAAGGTATTTATGAAGCTGATATGAGCTGAGGAGGGTCGCTACGATAAGCGTCACGAGAGGTTTCGGCTCCCGTAAATGTCTCTCGTACGGAGATGTGTTTACGACCTCGGGAGTTTTTGAAAATACGCTCGTTGCGAGAAACTAGAGAGTAACTTGTTTTACGATATAAACAGACCATTTACGATATCGTAAGACGTTAGTAAATCCGGCCCCTGGACCTTGGTCTTGGAGACCTCTAGACCCAAGGGCTTCGCATCATTGCTAAATGCATCGAGAGCCGCCACTAGGGTTTCCAAAGACTCAGATAGAATGGCAACGTCATCAGCAAAGTCAAGGTCTGTAACCTTGATATTGCCCAGTGTTGCTCCACAATGACTTTTGAACAGTAAGCTCTCCAGTATTCAGTCCATGCAAGTGTTGAAAAAAGTTGGTGCAAGGACACAGCCTTGCCTCATTCCTGAACTAACAGGAAAGAAGCTCGACAGGCCCCCACCACACTTTACAGCACTTTCAGTACCAGTATAAGGCTTGCTATTAGTCCAATTATCCTTGTTGGAATTCCTCTCAGCCTCAGGTTCTCCCAAAGTGACTCCCGATGCACCGTATCGAACGCCTTCTTGAGGTCGATGTAGGCTGCAAGCAGCCCACGCCCGAACTCACGGCGGCGCTCTACAATGACTCGAAGCGCGAGGATACGGTCTATTGACTTACCAGGAGTGAATCCGGATTGCTCCAGTCTCTGGTGCCTCAGTAGATGGTCTCTGATACGTCTCAGAAGGATGTGGCGAGAACCTTGCCAGGTATACTGAGCAGTGTGATGCCTCGGTGATTGCTGCAGTCCCAACGGTCCCCCTTCCCCTTCCAGAGAGGGATGACCACACCCCTCAAAGGTCAGGAGGAACGGAACCGGACCGCCAGATGGCAGCCAGGACAGCATGTAACCCCCGTGCCATAGGTTCACCACCAGCCTTTAACAGTTCAGCTGGTATGCCGCAGATACCCGCTGCTTTACCACTCTTCAGTTTGGAAATCCCCCCCAAACTTCAGTTAGGGAGGGAGGGTCCTCACTGATAGGTGGATCCGGCAGCGGGATCTCGACACACCCGCATCCAAGTTAACTGTTGGGGTCAACCTGGTACAGCTGCTCAAAATACTCAGCCCAACGTTCCGCACCGCAACAGGATCTGAAACGATCTGACCACTTACTGAGCGAACTGTTGTCACCTGTGAAGAGGGCTTGGAGTTCAGCTTTCTCAGGCTTGGTATGCAGGACGAAGATCATTTGCTAAGAATGGCCTTCTACTTCCTCTGTAAGACTCCTAATAAACTGTTCCTTGTCCCTTCTTAACAGGGACCTAGTTCTGCGCACATGAACGGTGCAATTCCTGATCCCCTGTCAGACGAGCCGAGACATGCATCTGCTTCCAGTGTCTCCTGCGAGATGGAAATCCGTATGCTTCTCTCGGCGTACACCAATCGTATGAATGCATATATATGATATATATATATATATATATATATATTATATATATATATATATATTGTGTGTGTGTGTGTGTGTGTGTGATGTTGTGTGTGTGTGTGCGTGTGTGTGTGGTGGTGTGTCTGTGTGTGTGTGTATGTGTGTGTGTGTCTGTGTTAGTGAGTGTGTGTGTGTGTGTGTATGTGTTCATGACGTATAAATATATAAATATATGTGTGTGTGTTGTGTGTGTGTGTGTGTGTGTGTGTGTGTGTGTGTATGTGTGAATGTTACACATACACACACACACACACACACCCGCACACACACACACACACACCACATATATAATATATATATATATATATATATATATAATATTTATAATATATAAATATATATATATAATATATACATACATTACATACATATATATATATACATTATATATTATATATATATATATAAAT